AGCGCGCGCGCATGCATAAAACCTTCTGCACATGCGCAGAGCGCCCGTGATGACATCTGGGCGGGTGGGCAGAGCCTCCTGCTGCCGCCACTACCGATTCACCCAAACCGGGGCAAACCAATAGAAACCCACCACTGATTCAAATGTTTTCAGGGCTTTTTAAAACTCAGTTATTAGGGAAGTGGAGGGAAGACTTTTGGTCATTTTTTTAAAAAAAATGTTTTTATACTTTGACGGGGGACATTGGATTTCAGATTTCCAGGGCTAATCTTTCTGGGCCAACTAGAGAAACGTTTCAGTAAGCCTTACAGCTGAAGCAAGTGAGATTAACCTGGTTTGCGACAAGCCTTGAAGAAGCTGGGTGCCAGGAGAACATATTTGCAACAACAGAAAAAAGCCCTCCTTGGTTTTTCCCAGCCTCTTTGCAAAGGTTCTGCTGATATTTATGACTTTTCCTCCCACTGGGGTTCTCCCAGGGTGACCCTTGTAATCCTAGTAAAAACATCTATAAATTTAGCTGACCAAGACGTTTATTGTAGTTTTGAGGACTTATCTGGGGCAGGGTTTAGTAGGTTGACCGTCTCTGGCAGTCCCCACAGTCCTACACTCTCAAGGCCATTTTTGAAAGAGAGACGCTAACGGGGCTGTAAAAGACAACATCTGGAGCTTTGCAACCAGATAAACCCCAACTGGGTTAGCATGAAGAGGCTTTTGTGAACCTCTCAGCATCTTTTTCTAGGGCTTCCTAAACCTTAAAAACGTGAGGAAGGACACAGTGTTGATAAAAACACAAAATAAACATCTTTAGAGCCCTTCTTGACTTTCCAGATGTTCCAACCCAGTCCATGTCTGGCAAAAGTCCAGGCGTGGCAGAAACCAGATGCCCAAATACTTAGAATTGTGTTTCTCAAGCGTTAAAGTGTTTGCACTTCAACTCCCAGAATTCCCCAGGCAGCACAGTTTAATTGGTTGATATGGCCAAGGATTTCCAAAAAATGGTCCAAATTCAATAAAATGCCTTCACTGTAATGTTCCTTTCCCTTGCCTGAACCCGCCCTAAGCCTACAATGAGTCCAAATGTATTTTTCTCCGTTATAGACGTATGTTCCATTAAAAAGAAACGATAAAGCTTGTGTGGATGTGTGGCCGAGGACTGGTGATTTTCCTGCCCTGAATTCTTCTAGAAATGGAAGGGGGTTCCCCCCGCCCACCAAAAAAAGACAGTTCTTGCTTAATATGCAGCTCATAGAATCTTGGGTCTTTCTTGGGAATGGTTCCTCCAGTGAGTCTCAGATTGTGGCCAAACCACTCCTCCAAATTACAGGATTTGCACACTTCCCCTTTGACCCACTGGAATATTTGGGGAAGAGGTCAGCTAAACCTGTCTCGTCCTACGTCGCCATGCCGGTTTTTGTTTTAAGCTCTCTTGGGGTGCTTGTCATCTTCCTTGGGCAACTACAACCCCCTCCGGTCTCCCTTCTTCTCATCCCGTTTCCAAAACAGTTCCCAAAGGTTCTCCCATCCTCCCTTTGGCAAGTTGATTTTTCACTGTCTTGGTGGCTAGACTGGAAGTGGGGGGGGGAAGCAAACATAGTTGTGAAACGTCTTTTTCTCCTGGGATTAAAAGAGGAAATAGCCGGCATTCTTGGGCCAGAAAGAGAGCATCCGTGGGGCCTCCAGATGGAAATTCCCGCCTTCCATCGGGCACTCCGGACTCTGCTGTGTTGCAGCACTTGGGAGAATTTCTGCCTGCTTTGAAGGCTGCAAGCAGCTCAGCCAAGGGGAGAGGTGGGGTGGAGGAAAACGGGCCTTGGGGATGGTCCGGGGTTCTAGCAGGCACCAGGGGTGACGTGATGCTGCTTTTTGACCTAATTGGCACTGCCAAGCCCTCCCCTTGCCAGCTCTGGCTTCCCCTTTCTCCCTCTTCTGCTTGCAATGAAACAAGGTCAAACAGCCCCTGCTTGGCAAGGGGGCCCCTCAGCAAGTTGCAAAAGATTTGGGGCACCCTCCTTCAGGGTTGTCCCAAAGGCCCTTTTCAAAAGGCAACTGGTTCTATTTCTATTTGCGGCTTCTGTTCCCCACCATTCAGTCAGAACTGAAGAAGCTTCTTGGATGAGAAGCGAAATGCTTTCAAAGAAAAACAAACAAACAAAAAAGTTCAGCTGCCTTTTGAAAAGCATCTTTGGAACAACCATGACCCGGATGGTTGACAATCTCCATAGACATTTATCCTTCAAGATGTTCTCCACAGTGGAGGGGAATCTCCCAGCCCCCCTCTCGGACTGTTGCTAAATTCCCAGGGTTCTTTTTTGTCTGTCCAGATGCAAATCACACAGAATAACAGAGTTGGAAGGGACCTTGGAGGTCATCTAGTATAACCCCGTGCAGGAGACGCCATTCCATTCCAGACAAATGGTGGTCCAATCTCTTCTTAAAAACTTCCAATGTTGGAGCATTCACAACTTCTGGAGACAAGTTGTTCCACTGACTAATTGTCCTCACTGTCAGGAAATTTCTCCTTAGTTCTAGGTTGCTTCTTTCCTTGTTCAGAGGAGAGATCCAGCCTAGAAAGCCGACACAGCCTCCCTACCCTCCAAGCAGGAGGAGCAAAGTGGGTCCTTTAAGGGAAGCTGCAACCCTTCCCCACACCTTTGACTTGTGACAGATAACCCGGAGTCCAGTTTGGGCCTCTTTTCACCAGCAAGAGGATGGCAGGATGGCAGACAAAATATGGGGGCGCATCTCATTCCTCTTTGCATGTTTTCACCTCCCAGCACAGCCCTGCTTTAAAACCCCCAATTCTTGACCTGTTTGCCCAGTCAGTCTGTCTCCCGTCTATGTCAAGGTCCTCCTTCAGAGAAAGCCTAAAAATTTGCAATTTGCGTAATTTCTCAGAAGCAGAAGCAACAACCCAGTGGCAAGGTCAGTTGCCAACAAAGCACTGATGTGTGCTTGCGAAGGAGAGATAAGAGCATGCGTGAAGGCAAAACAATCCTCCCCAATTATTATTTCGCTCTCTCTCCCGTTCTCTGAGCACAAAACAGCTGAATTTGGGCGCATTTGTTCAGGCTGTTTAAGGAACAAAATCTGCAATGCTTTAAAAGCACCGAGCAGGGAAAAGGTATGTTTCCTAAGCCCTTCTTCCCCTGGGGACACGGAGAACTTATAAAAGGAGAGACGTTTTCTAGGGGGTGGGGGGAGGTGGTGAGGCTGACCAGGTACTGGCACCACCACCTGCCACTTTTGATAGTGCTTGGGGGTGGGGGGGAAAAAGACAGCCTGGCTCAAACTTCTGCTGTTCGGCCTGGCAGAGAATGCCAAGAAAACGTTAACTGCTGATCTCGAATTCAGGAGAAACCTCAAGACTAAAAATGGCTGCTTGGAGCACTGAAGGTTTGGCCGATTCCTGGAACCAAGGGAGGGCTGTAATTTAGCAGCTGCTGTGGGTTGTCTGTGGGTTTTCAGGATGGTCCCGATTTAGAGAAATCTGCCCAATATTTATGACAGGCAGAGAGTTGGAGAGAACATCTACTCCTTTCATTTCTGACCACCTTCCTCCAACATCAGGGAGAGCTTCAGCCGAGGCTTTCCTGCCTCCCTTTCTTGCACTGTGGTGGCCCCTTCCCAGAAGCCCCTTCCCATCCCAGGGCTATTGAAAGCACAGACCTTTTGGCTCCTTCCTGGCTCTCCATTGCAGGGTCTGCGCTTAAACTGGGCTTGCATTTTGTCATAAACCAGGATGTCGCCCCAGCTGGCGTGACATGCCACCAGAACAAATCGTATTGGAGCTTAGGGCAGCAGGGATGGGTCTGCCGAGCATCAAGGAAGATTTAAACGAGAAAAGCAATACTGTTGACTAGCTAAGCTTTGTTTCTTGGAGAGCTTTTAAAAGGGGACTAGAAAAATCATCTGCTATGGAAGAGAAAGCTTGAGTCTAAAACTCAGGTGAAAATGGGCAGACTAAAATGATCCAACCCTTTTGTCAAAATCTTCTCTTCACCAGAAGGCGCTCTTCGGACGCAAAACATTTCAGAGTAGTTTATTTTTAAGCGTCTCCTTTTTGCCTTTGAATGGGGAGGCCTATTGTTGACTGGGGTGGCTTCAGAGTGGATTATCCAGTTGCTGGGATCAACGGCAGGCAGGCAGGCAGGCAGGCAATGCTTTGGCAGCTGAGGACTGTTTTGGTTGGAAACCTGAGCTGAAGATAAATTATCCCAAATACAGGGTGGCAGCTGGCACTCGACAGGAGGGGTGAAAAACCTTCGCCTGTCTGTCTGTCAGCATGCACTTCTCCCTGGCCTCTGAAGAATGTGGAGGCAAGTTTCACTGTTTGGGGTAGCCTTTGCAGAAGGGAATTGCCACGCTGGGGCTGTCCCCATCTCATCAGCCAGCCTGGACACGTCAACGGACCCCTAATTGAAAAAGAGTCCCCTCTGGCGCCTTCAATAGAGCCTCCTATTCTCATTAGGTAGATTTTAAAAAAAATCATCAAGAGCAGCAGCTGCTGTTTTGCATGTGCTGAGAAACTGGTGTATATTCTGCTCCTCTCCAGTCTATGTCAGACAGTCCAGTTCTATCAGATTTGGGGAATGAACAGATCACAAGTTTATAGATACTGCCAGGCAATAGGGGGAAAAGTGTCAGACTTCCAAAATGTCATTAGGACTGATAAAAAATGTGGTACAGTATTTCTCAAGCTTGGCACCTTGAGATGGGTGGACTTCAATTCTCAGAATTCCCCAGCCAACAAGCAACTGTTCGCTGGCCTTGTGGTTAAGTCACCAGGCTAGAAGCCAGGAGATGTGAATTCTAGCCCTGCTTAGGCATGAAAACCGGCTGGGTGACTTTGGGTCAGCCCCTATCTCTCTCAGCCCAACCCATCTCACAGGATTGTTGTTATAGGGAAACGAGGAGGAAGGAGCATTAGGTATGTTCTCCACCTTGAGTTACTTATAAAAATAGTAAAGGTGTGATATAAATAAAACGCAAATTAAAAGAACTCATTTTTCTTTAGAACAAACATATATTATCTCTGCATGTGTTGCACAGGCTGAACAGCAAACAAATCTGAAATTCGTGTATTAACAATCAGGTGAAATAAAAATATATTCCTTTCTTTACAATTCCAATCTAGAAAATAGCAAAACACAGCTTTACTGTACTTATTAGGTCTATCCCTCATATAAGGGGAACGTGAAGCCAGCAACATAAAACTACACTGCTATTAGCCCCCAAATCAATGACCACAAATGTAGTCATAAGCCCAAAGAGCCTCCGTACTGCTCTAAATCTGCCCCTGGAGGGAGAAGCATGGGAGGCCATACATCATTGCTTATCCCTGTGGACTCACGGATTGTACCTGAAATGGCCCTGGGACTTTTCTCTGTAACTAAGAGACAACTTTAACCCCCACCCCCACCCCTTCAATGGCCATCCTTAAGGCTACAAATCAAATCTCAGACGAAGATATTTCACACAGATAAAGGAAAAGAAGCCAAGAGCAAAAAGCTGCAGCAAAGTCAGTCTATCCTGTTGGCTCTAGTACAGTCTTAACATTGTGCGTATGAGTTGTGCGTCTTTCCAAAATGTTGATGGATCAAGCTCCTAAGATATCATGCTGAGGCTACAAGTGGAACGAAGGGAAGCTGGCTTCCAGGTCTTGAGATGCAGAGGAGCCCTACATACTGGCTGCGCTCTTCTCAGGTCCAGCAGGGTTTGACCCCTGCTTCAACTTGTAATCCGCCAAGGCAGCCTTGATGGCGTCTTCTGCTAGCACTGGAGAGAGAGAGAGAGAAAGTGTCAAAGCTTGGAAACACGTGATGCTGCTTTGTTTTCCATGGGGAAAACAAAGGGTCCAGGAATGCAATCAACAGTGAAAATCCTACTCACTTGAGCAGTGCAGTTTTACTGGTGGCAGGCAAAGCTCTTTAGCAATATCCGTGTTTTTTATCTTCAAGGCTTCATCAACCTGAAATTGACCCAAATTGATAGTTTAACAAGGCCTGGGTAGCTCTTTCCCAAGGATCTTGTTTACAAAGAGGTTCTCACTTTATTTTACATGAGAATATGCCCACCCAAGGCCGAAGGTTCACAAATGTCCTCGAAGATGATGGAAGAGAAGACGGGACTTAACTCTAAATGTGGCCAAGGATTTGAAATGGACAGGACGTACCGTCTTTCCTTTCACCCATTCCGTCGCCAAAGAACTTGAAGCGATTGCTGACCCGCAGCCAAACGTCTTAAACCTGGCGTCAACGATTTTTCCGTTTTCGTCCACCTCGACCTGAGGGGCAGTTACAAAGACCCCAATTACCGATCAGGGCAAGGCTAAGAGAAAGTGGGGGACAGGCTGGGCATGCTGAGCTGCCTGGGAAAAGCAGGGCCTTTGCTTACTTGCAGTTTCATGACGTCACCACAGGCTGGAGCCCCCACCAGGCCAGTCCCCACGTTCTTTGCCTTCTTGTCCAGGGAACCGACGTTCCTGGGATTCTCGTAGTGATCTACCACCTGAAAGGGAAAATTCAGGGCAAAACCGAGACAATCCTTGAGGAGCCGAAAGAGGGAATCCTCCTCAAAGAAGAGAGGCAAGGAAAGGATCCCTTTGGTCCCCCTTTGGCCTTGTTTGTGGAGGTTGTGACAGGTGATTGACGAGCTCCCTAAAACCCGAGGCTGGGAGGCTTTTCCGCCCACAAATGGCTGAGAAGCAAGGCCAGAACGGTTCTTGGGCCCCCCCTTTCTGTCCAGGCCCCCCAGGATCCGGCCCAGCCGCTCTTCTTGGGGCACTGGGGAGTTTTGCTAAACGGCCTTTGCTGCTTTTCAGGGAGGCGACACGAGAGGAAACAGGCCGGAGGAGGCAGAAGGAAAACTCACAACCCCGGGCCTTTGCTTTCTTCCTTCCTCCTCCGCCCACTGGAGACAGGATCCACCCGGCCCTGCCCTGCCTCCTCCCGGCCTCCCTTCCTCCCTTCTTTCCCGAGGGAAGCGGCAGGTGGACGGGGATCCCTCCGACTCCACGCCCCATAAGCCCCGGCGTGCAGCCCATGCGCCCTTCCCAGCCTCCCCGGGACAGACCCGCGTCTACTTTGACGGGACCCGCGTCCTCTCAGCCTTGGGCAGCTTCGGCCGTGGAAGGGGCGGGGCTGCGGCTCCCGTTATCGGGAGCGATGGGAGTTGTAGTCCCTCGGGGAGGGCGGGGGAATCGCGCCGGACCGTCTCCCGTCTCAAGGCCCGGCCCACCTTCTCGTGGTAGCCGGCGGCCGGAGGAGGCGGAGGCCGGGCCAAGCCGGGCCTGAGGAGCACCGCGGCCCTAACGCCGCTCGCTCTCAGCGCCGCCATCTTGTCCGTTTCGCAGGCGCTGCGCTGCCCCGGGAACACACGCAGCGTCAATAGAGGGCGAGGCGACGCGCCCGTGACGCCATCAAGGCGCGCCAAGGAGAAGGCGCGGAGCCACGCCCCCTTGGCCTTCGGGGAGGGGCCTCAACCGCTCGCTCCCGTATTTCTTGCGCCGCTGTTGGGCGTGGCCGCGGGAAAGAGCAGGCGAGCCTCCATGTTCAGGAGAAGCAGGCGCTGCCGCCTCCTCCTCCTCCTTTCCCCCCCCCCCGTGACAAAATCCGGGCGTTATCATTTTATATCGGTTTTATTTCGTTTTAATCCCGCCCCCTCCTTGGGGTGCCTGGGTTAGTCCCGCCCCCTCCCTCGCTGCACGGTGGGGGGAGGGGGAAGCGCTGGCTCCTCCCAGGGGCCTTTGCGGCAGCCAGAGACCGCCTCCGAGGCCCCTTTGCCCGCGGCTGCCCTCCGCAAGTGCCTGTTTGGAGCGGGACCCACCACCGCCCTTCCCTTGCCGGAGCGCTTCCCGCGCCCGCTCGGCCTGCAGGGGAAGATCCCACTTGAGGCCGAAAGCCGCGTCTCTTTCGAGGTTCGCGCGCCCGGCTCTCCCCTGGAGGGCTCTTCCCCGCTCAGGCGTCGCTTGGGGCAGCCCGGGGGCTCGGCGCGCGCGCGAGAACGTGCCCGGGGCGCGCGGGGTCCTGGCGGGAGCGCAGCGAGGGTGGCCGCCGGGCGCGATGTCGGACGAGGAGGACTCGGAGGCGGTGGCCATCGCGGCGGCCTACGCGCTGCTGCAGGAGGCGGGAGACTTCGACGACCGCTGCCTTGTCGGTGACCTCAAGCCCGCCGACGACGACGACGAAGAGGTCTACTACGACGACGACGACGACGACCTCCCCTTTGAGGACAATGGGGCGGAGGCCGAGATCGCGCGCCTGGAGGAGCAGGTGAGGAGGCGGGCCTACTGGCAGCTAGGCCACGGACACCCGGCGGGCCGCCTGGAATTGGGGGGGGGAAAGAGGAAGGGAGGCCGCCTCTCTGCGCCCAGAGCCCCCGTCCCGCCCCGCCCCGTCCCGAAGGCCTCTTTTTGGGGGGAGGGGGCTTCTCCCAAGGAAGGGGGCTTTGCTGCTTGGGGAGAGGGGGGGGCATGGGGAGACCAAGCAGGGACCCTTCTGCTCCTCTCATACGCCTAGTCCTCGACTTACGACCCCAAGGCAGCCCGAAATTTCCCTGGCCAAACGAGACAGTGGTTAAGTAGCTTTTGCCCCACTTTGCCATCGTCATCCACTTAGTGAAGAGTTAGTATAAATTCACCACAGTTAAGTAACCCGGTCGTTAAGTGAATCCGGGCTTTCCCCGTGGGCTTTTCCTTGTTGGAAGGTCGCAAAATGGGAATCGCGTGAACCTCCCGTCATAAACATGAGTCCAAAGTTTTTATTCCGTGACCGAAGGGATGCTGCAAAGGTTGTAGGTGCAAAAAGCGGCCCTAAATCACTTTTCCCCCCCAGTGCTGTTGTAACTTTTGAAGGGTCACTAAACAAGCTCTGCACGGGACAGTCCTCGACTTACAAGGACTGTCCCGTGCACCGATGACGGCAGAGCAACAGTCACGGATTCTGCCTCCTCTGTAGGCCGGAGCTGAGCTTACCAACGTTTGCTAGTCATGATATTCTGCATTAGTCGGTGCGACTTTTCCGTTTATACCTTCTTATCTTGCAGGGACTGAATTGGAATCCTAAGGTATTTAAGATTCCGCTGAGAGTCGCAGTACAGCCAGGCAGACTAGATAAGGATTTCTTTCCATCTTGGCTCCACTCTAAATAGTCCATAAACTGCAGGCGTTTCTGGGTCTAACACCGGATTAGGGATCTCTAATGCAATCCGTACCTCATGATCCGCTTTGGTGCCTTGATTAAGAGGCGTTCCCAAGCAGTGGCATATTATGCCTGACCCAGGATAATTAATGTACTGCATTGGAAACCCCTCATGATCTTTGTGCCTGTTTATTCCATAAGTAAAATTTGCCAAAATCCCTGGATGGCACTCCTCAGTACCTTTTAGCTAGGTTTCTGTAGAACCTTTTAAATAAAATTACTGTTTTGACAATGTTTTTTTAGCTGTCCATCAATGCCTATGATTACAACTGTCACCTGGATCTGATAAAACTGCTGCGTCAGGAAAGGGATGCCTATAGACTTCGCAGAGCACGCCGGAACATGAGCGAAATTTTTCCTCTGACCGAAGGTAGGCAAAGTCTTTTGATCTTGCAGAAATTCAAATCTCGATGTACCCCATTTCGTTTTGTAAAACATAAATTAAAATCGGATAACTGAATGATCACCAAAAAAAAAAAAAAAATCCTCCATAAATGAAATTGTTAGAGTTGTTATTGGTAAAGTTTGCATATGGAGTGAAAGGGTCTAATGTGCATTTTCAGTTGAAGCATTTAATAAGGATAAACAGCTGGGTGGTTATATTTCCCCATCTCTCTTGATGTTGTGGCAGAGTTTTAAAAATACTGCTCTGTTTGTCTTAGTGACTCTGTTGAAAATAACCAGACTTTGTATTCCTACCTCCAAAGACTCCAAGAATACTTTAAGTGGGGATATACAATTCTGCTGACGTACTGGGGATGGGGGTAGATACACTACATTTACTTAATCAAATTTTGTACTGTACAGACTTGGTCTGTACCAACTGTGTGATAGAATTGCTTGAAAACGTTAGCAGAAAAGCAGCTGCCTTATTCATTTTGTGTTGAGACTTGAATTCACACCAGTCCAGTTTTGATAGCATCAGATAGCACTTGATAGCACCTAGGGATAGCATTCCAAGGTGAAAATGTACAGCAATTTGTACTGCTGTGGATCCTGTTAAATGGGCACATGCTGCTGTTTTTTAAACAAATATGGTCTTTCCTCATTCCCCCAGATCAGACGGCAGCAGGGCCGTGGGGGGAAAAATTTGGCAGTTTGAAGGGGGGAGCAATATTCAAGATTGGCTCAACCGCCAAACCCCCAGAGAGTAGAAGCTTTCCTGGCAAATATTTGTGGGGCTTCTAAATGAAGGCTGAGGTTTCTTAATTATGTCACCCGTTTTATCTTCTGTTTTCTGGATTTTATTAAAAATGGCAGCTTTGCTGTAATTTTAGTTAAAATTACTAGTGATTTACTTGTGGCACCACTTAATTGCCGCCAGATGTTTGGCGCCATCATGATGGAAACCAAGCAAAACTCCAGAGCATTTACTTTAGAGAATTATTTAGGTTAAATTTGTTTCAGAGAAGATTTTGGTTTCTTGAGATGTAAGTAGAATGTAGCTGTGTGAACATCTGTTCAGATGTAAACCCTGTTGAATTTAGTAGAACATACCGTGTTTCCCCAAAAATAAGACCCTGTCTTATATTTTTTTGAACCCTGAAATAAGTGCTTGGCCTTATTGACATGCACTCAAAAGCCCGATTGGGCTTATTATCAGGGGATGTCTTATTTTGGGGGAAACAGGGTATATGCACATACATACATACATTCATTCTACTAATAATCACGAGTAATTTTAACTAAAATTACATATATATTTGACCCTGCCTTAGTAATATGTTATTTAGCAATATCTTTTTCCAGATTCAACTGTGGTACATTCTAACCCACTTTGGCTTCGTCTCATGTTCACAGAGCTGTGGCTAGACTGGCTGAAGGATGAGATTCCGCAGGCTAAAGAAGACTCAGAGCGGGAGAAGATTTACGAACTTTTTGAGAGAGCTGTGAAAGACTACATCTGTAAGTTTACTTTTAAACGGATATTCTTTCAGGCACACGCAAACAAACAGATAAACAGCACCAAAATAGATAATTTCAAGGTGTAACAGGTTCTCCAAAGAACTTACTCTGTTGGAGGAAATGAAAAATTCAGAGTTAACTTCAGCTTCTTTCCCCAAAAGTGATTCCCACCCCCCTTCTGTGATTGGATTCTAGGTCCTGGAATCTGGCTGGAGTACGCCCAGTACTCCATTGGGGGCATTGGCCAGGAAGGAGGGATCGCGAGAGTTCGCGCAATCCTGGAACGGGCGCTCATCGCGGTCGGCCTCCATGTAACCAAGGGAGCTGCTATTTGGGAGACCTACCGGGAATTTGAAAATGCCATATTGGCGACAATGCAGGTAAGCCCTGGCATGCCACACTCCGCTGCCTGAAGTTTGGTCAGGTGATGATTTCCCAGAGAGCGTCCGTGTTTTGTAGGAAGTGTCAGGCAAAAGATAGCAGTGGCATTTTAGCGTGTAGGCTTTTATGCCATCCCATATTGTTCTCCAGCGCCCTCTGGGTGGTTTACCACCTTGAAACATTATTTGCATGTTGCAAGCTCCAACAAATCCGGGTCCTCATTTTACCAACCTTGGGAGGATGGACGGCTGAGTCAGCCTTGAGCCCCATCAGGATCAAACTCCGGGCTGTAGGCAGAGTTTCGCCTGCAGTACCACGCTTTAACCAGTGCTCCACCAGAGCTCGTTTTGATGAGATCTCCGTCCCTGAGCATCTGGAATGGCAAGGGCTCTCTCAGCAGTGCCCGTTCCTGATCCAGGATTGAGAGGGGTCTTTTTTTTTAATTATTCACGCACGTGCATCTTTTAGCTGCGTTTGGCACTCTGCTCCTCTTCTGATCCATGTGCTTTGTTCCTCCTCTGGCAGCCAGCACCGGGCAGCGTCCCAACCCCTGAGCAGCAGCAGAACATCAAGGCGCAACTCGAGAAGATCCACTCGCTCTATCGTCGGCAGCTGGGGGTTCCCTTGATAGGTAAGGATCAGCTGCAAAGGATCGTTTATCACTTGCCTCTCAACCCAAGGCCTGCCCCCCAATCCTTCGTCTTTTTTTTTAAAAAAAAAATTAATAAATTTTCTGTTAATTGCATTTCTTAGTGCTTAATAGACATTGTGTTGTCTGGGTATTTAATTTGCTTAGCAATACAGATTCTATTCTTAATCGCCACCCCTTTTTTCCAACCACTGGTAAAATAAGTTCCATGTTTGATGATATTCTGTGTCTTTTTTCTGTTCATTTTCAACGTAAGTCTATCCATTTCTGCACAATCTAGTATCTTCGTCTTGCGTTGTTTCTTCATTTTTCCAATATTGTGTGAAGATAATCCTCGCTGCTGTTAAGACATGTAATATTAAATACATACTTTTCTTATCAAATTTTTCTGATATCATCACCAATAAAACCAATTCAGATTTAAAATCTACATGTTTCCCTATTACCTTTTCTAGCCAGCTGTGTATTTTTGCCCTACTTTTTTTTTGCTTTTAACACAAGTCCACCACATATGATAAAAATGTGCCCGTCTTGATTACATTTCCAACATTTGCTAGACATATTTTTTAAAAAAATTGCTGACCATTTAGCTAAGCTTTTTTTTAGCCGAAATCCTTTAGCTTCTTGTTCCTCAACTCCAGAAGGAATCGGTGGCTGAGTTTTGCACGGGGCACCAAAAGCCAAAGTAGCCGCAGGGGGGCTTACCGCGAGGGAAGGGCTTGGGAGTCCATGTTCCCCTTCCTTGCTGACACAGGCTTGTCTCTCTTTCTGAAGATATGGAATCGGCATTTTTGGAATATGAAAACTGGACTGAGGAGCCGATCCCAGAGGCAGCACTGCAAAACTATGCAAAGGCTTTGAAGGAGTTGCAGAAATACAAGCCTTACGAAGAGGCCCTGGTAAATGGCTCCCCTCGCAATCCGTAAGCTTCCCCAGGGCCGTGTCGCCCATCCTCCGTTAAGGCCTTCCTTCCAAATAACAGCATCTTTTCTCGGTTCTTGTGCTGGGCTTCCAACTTCCCTTTGGAAGGTATTTTTAGAATGGGTCTTTTTATAGGGGACACTGGGAAAACTCTGGAAGTCGTTGTCAAGCTTGTCAGGGAAGGAGGAACAAAATTGCTTTGAAGTCTGTGTCAAATTGGTTGTATCTAAATGGTATTCTTTTTCAGAACTTTCTGGGATTCTCCCCCTCCCCCCCCTTTTTTTGTTTAAAATTGAGTTCTACGCTGAGCAATGCAATACAACCTTTTTTTTTTTTTTTGCTTTCCTTATGTTTTCCCTGTTCTACTTTCCCTAAAGAGCTTCCTTCCTCTCTTCTTGTTCCAGCTGGTAGCTGAAATCCCAAAGCTGGCCGAATATCAAGCTTACATCGACTTCGAAATGAAGGTGGGGGATCCAGCTCGCATTCAGCTGATCTATGAGCGTGCCCTGGATGAGAACTGCCTAGTGCCGGACCTCTGGGCTCGCTACACTCAGTACTTGGTAAGCGCCTCCCATCAGGAAGCTCCCTCCAGCCTCACGTCCTTCTGTGAAAGAGCTTTCCTGGGTTTGGTCAGTTGTTTGGGCTAACTAGGTCTTGTTAAAAGGACTTCAGGAAAGTTGGATCTATGGGGGTACATGGAGTAACAGATCTGCAGAAATGCTTTATCGCTGATTATTTGATATTGCTAGCTCTGCAGAGGGATAACTGTCCACTCAATGTAGTCTTTGGCCTTTTCTGTGGCTTCTGAGATTTCAATAGAAGGCCCCTCCCCCCTTTCAGATATCCTTTCTCTGTGAAGTGCTCAAGGTGTCTCTGAGCAGGGATTCTGCCCTCCCCCCCTTCTGCCTGGAGCACTGCAGCACCAAACGCCCCCTTCTGCGTTAACCACAATTAGCCCGGCTTTAAACCAGCTTTAAACATGCTTCCTTTTGTAGGACAGGCAGCTGAAGGTGAAGGAGCTGGTGCTTTCCGCTCACGAGCGAGCGGTCAGGAATTGCCCTTGGACCGTCAAGCTGTGGAACCAGTACCTGATGGCCATGGAGAGACACCACGTTGAACATCAGGTGATCTCAGGTAGGATCAGGAGAACTGTGAGGGCTACGAAAGGCTTCTGTGGTGGGAGCTTCACAGCCTCGGAAGCCACACAACGCCCCAGTCCTGATTACATGGTTTTCTTCAAGCTGTAGGCTTTGTCGGGAGACGTTGGCTGGTTTTATTTCTTTGTTTTTTTAAACCTGGAGCATCTCTGCCTGCTCCCCAGGCCCTGTGCCGGGAAGGGAGAGGGTGTCGGCTGTGTCCCTGGCTCAGGCTGAGAGTTCAAGGCTGGGGCGAGGGAAGAACTTAGGCTGCTGAAGCTGTGTTCGCCCTTATTTCCTCTCCCCCTCCTCCCCCCTGTATTAGAAACCTTCGAAAAGGCTTTGAACGCCAGCTTCACTCAGGCTACCGATTACGTGGAAATCTGGCAGGCGTACCTGGATTACCTTCGGAGAAGAGTTGACTTTACCCAAGGTGATTATCGGTGGGGGAAGATGCTAACTGCAACCACTCTGAGGCAGTCCCTGGTTTGGGCTTCATTCTTCCAGATCCCAGCAAGGAGTCGTTTTTGCCCCAGGGCGACATGGCCTGAACGCTCCCCCGTTGGAGAAAACGCACCTTGCTTCTAGAAAGCTAGTACTCCAGGGGTGCCTTCTGAATGGCCATGCTCTCTCCGTGCTGTTTTTCAGACTCGAGTAAGGAGCTGGAAGAGCTTCGGTCGGCCTTTGCTCGTGCCCTCAAATATTTAAAGCAAGACGTCGAAGAACGTAGGTTGCCTCTTATTTAGAAAACAATGTCTTTCTGCTGCGGGTATTGGCATTCCAATCAGAAATAATAATAATGGCTTAATTCTGTTTGACTGCAGGGTTTAGTGAGAGCGGAGACCCTTCCTGTACTCTCATGCAGGCCTGGGCCAGGATTGAGGTGACCTTAACTCACTCTGTTGTTTGCTTTTATTTGCTCACCTCTGGGTGGGTGGGTGGGGCGTGAGATTGGTTACCTATGGATATTTTCAGATGATATTAATAGGGGCCGTCCCCCTCCCTAGGCTCGCTGGTGCAACAACATGCAGAAAGCGCGAGAACTCTGGGACTTCATCATGGTCAAAGGGAACGCAAAATATGCCAACATGTGGTTGGAGTATTACAACCTGGAGCGGTAAGAGGGAGTCTCTTCCTGTCGGCCCACCAATGAGGCACACGTGACCAACGCTCTGTACTTGCTGTGCTCCAGGGCTTGTCAGGAATGGGAGCTTGGAGGCCCCGTCCTGTTTGGCTCAGAGGCACCATTTAAGTCTTCCGGGTTGAGAGGATGAGCCGGTGACATCACCGTTGCCCGGGGGATGCCCGGATGGGGCTTCTTTCATGTCCTTGTCAAGGAGCTGGAGCAAAGGACAGGAGTTCACCCTGCCATGCAGCAGCGCTTGGGTCTCAAGCGTGGGCTTTGCTGACCTCTGACCCAGCATCCTTACCTCGGGAGCCACCATGCTCCAATGTGCTGGGAGATGACTGGAAAAGAGAGCTTAGTCAGGGCTTGCGTGGGGCTGACGTAGGGATAACCCTCCCACCCCTTTGAAGTCTGGAAGAGGAGGCATTGATCCTTCACCTACACAACCAGGCAGCCCAGAAAGAATTCATTGTTCACTCCCAAACGATGAATGTGAAGTTTTGCTTGCTGTGTGCCCAGCTGGGAGGAAGGAGCTCTAACCTGAGGGTGGGGGGGGGGGGGGGGGGGGGCGGCACCCCCGCTGGTTGCCCCCCGCGGGCCCCCCCCGCGTTTGGGGGGGGGGGGGGGGGGGGGGGGAAGTTCCAAGGTTTGGCCCAGCTGTGTCTCCTTGGGTGTTGATGACTGCATCTCTGTCCCGCTCCTCTCTCTCCTGTCTGGCTGCAGGGCACATGGGGATGCCCTTCATTGCAGGAAGGCTTTGTACCGGGCCGTGCAGTGCACCCAGGACTACCCAGAACACGTCTGTGAGGTGCTGCTCACGCTGGAGAGAATTGAAGGTGAGCAGCCCCCACTTCCTGCTCGGGTTGATATTGGGAAACGTTGGAGAAGGGGGAAGAGACGCAGCCTCCTTTCCTGTCCTCTCGCAGGCACTTTAGAAGACTGGGACACAGCGGTTCAGAGGACAGAAACCCGGTTAGCTCGAGTGAAAGAGCAGAGAGCGAAGGTGAAGGGTTGGGTTTGGGGTTTTTTTTGAAAAAAAAAAAACAGATAAACTCTCCTCTTGGAAGTAAAAGTGGGGCAGGGCGCTCTGTTTGAGTGTCTTAGCTGCTCTTGGAAAGTCTCCTGTAGTTACGAGCACAAAGACGGGGATAAAGCTTGGCAATGATGGGGGTGCTTTGCTGCTTCAGAGTCACGGGCGCGGTGGATGAGAACAGCGGCTTTTAGCCCCCTTTGGAGGGACTGGGGGGAGGGGTCCACTCTCAATTCTCTTGCCCTTGTGGATGATTGGCACGGCCCCCAAAGACCCCCCCCTCCCACCGCGTTCCCTTCCTGCATTGCTCCAAAGTGAAGCCTCTGAACGGGCCCCCCTGTCGCCTGCGGGGAGAGAAAGGCCCAGATTGGAGCTTCTGCTCATGAGGCCGTTTGTCCTGTTAGGCGGTGGCAAAGGAAGCTGCCCTGGCGAAGCAGGAGGAAGAGAGAGCAGAGCAGCGCAAGCAAGCCCAGGCGAGAAAGAAAGCCCTCAAAAAGTCCCAGAAGCCCAATACCGGAGTCAAGCGGAAGGCAGGCGGCGATGGCGAGTGGGAGGAGGAGGAGGAAGGTAGCATGGCTTTGGTCGTGTGCTCTGCTTCGGGGTTTGGGTGCTTGACCCCCACGGGATTCTTCCGGGTGACAAGGAAGCTGGAATTGGGCGGAGGGGAGAATCCTAGCTTGGTCTGACCTGGCCTTTTGGCAAAACACACGGCACAGATAGCATAAGGCAGGTCTCCTAAGCCATCGTGTCAGAATGCCTCAAGTTCCCAGGTTCATCTTTGTGGGCGCAGAAGCAGCCTGGCCAGGAGAGAGTCCTCACGCCTAAAATGCCTGGGAAAGGGTTGGGTACAGGCAGAGGTCGCCTCCCAGGGCTTCTGTTGCGCTCATGGATCGATGGCTGGGAGGTGGAGCACCTCAGTCGAGGAAAGCAGCTGGGTCCTTTGCTTGCGCTTCCTCTGTGGCCACAAAGCAGGTGTCCAACTTGTAGGGGCAATGTTGGGAGAGCCAGCATTGTCCAAAGACATTTCTGTGGCCAGGTAACCAATGTGACTCTATGCCAAAGGCGCACAGAACACTGTTGCCTTCCCTCTGAAGTGTGCTACCTATTTGCTGGCGTAGATGTGCTTTCAGACGGCTAGGTGCTGGGGAAATAACGGGAGCTCAGCCTGTTGCACAGCGCTCGGGTCTCGAAGATGGGCTGTCAGCTGGCAAGCTCCGTGTCATTAACCTCTGAGCCATGGGGGGCCCCGGCAGGTCCTTAGCAACCTCTGAATCCCTTCCTCTTCCCCTCAGCAGCCTCACTGCTTGTCAAGAGGCTGAAGGAGAGCAGGGGGCCTATACTGGACGAAGAGGATCTGGAAGAGTTGCGCGAGTTGGAGTTGGAGATGAACACGGAGCTGGAGATCGAGCTGGGCCTCTTTGGAAGGAAGGCCGACCACAAGCCAAAGGAAGAGGGAGCAGCTGCCAAGTGGAAAGACACCCCCAAAGTCCTTCACGACAGCAAGAAAGAGGGCCGCACCGTCTTTGTCAGCAACCTCTCCTACAACATGGCCGTGCCGGAGGCCAGACTCCACAGCCTTTTTGCCAGCTGTGGGGAAGTGGCCGAAGTCCGCTCCATCTACAGTAACAAAGGGACGTTTCGTGGCTACTGTTACGTGGAGTTCAAAGACGAGAGGTCAACTCTGCAGGCCTTCGAACTGGACCGGACCGTCGTGGAGGGCAGGCCCATGTTTGTGTCTCCATATGTGGATAAAAGCAAGAATCCGGATTTCAAGGTGCCCCTCCTGCCGTCACTCATGGGAGCTTGCGGGGGGTAGAGGTGGGGGTGGGGGCAGGGTCAGGAGGCACCGGCTCCTGAATTACGCAGAAGCAGCAAGCCAGAGAGTTTTTGCAGGGCCGCTCCGGTTGTAAGGCTGTCTTTGTGTACATGAAACAGATGTGGGATTTCCCTTTAGACCTGAGGGGCCTCCAAATGAGGCCACTTTAAGACTCGTGGACTTCAACTCCCAGGATTCCCCAGAGAGCAGCTGGGGAAGCATCCCTTTGCGTTGCTGACTAGGGAATTCTGGGAATTAAAAGTCCACCAGTCTTAAAAGTTGCCAAGTTTGGGGACCTCTGCTTTAGAAACAAGGCTGAAGGTAAGAAGCTTGAGCCCCACATGGGAAGCGGGAAACTTTGCATTGGTTAAAAGAAACACCAGGCTGTGAATATAGAACTCGTCCCTAAACACACACACACACACACACACACACACACACACACACACACACACACAAAACACACACATTTCAGGCCTGTGCTTGAGTTTTCTTCCTTGGTGTTCTTGGCCCCCCTGCAGGTGTTCAAGTACAGCACCGCTCTGGAGAAGCACAAGCTGTTCATCTCCGGCCTCCCGTTTTCATGCACAAAAGAGGAACTGCAAAAGGTCTGCAAAGCCCATGGGAAGGTGAAGGATATCCGGATGGTCACCAACCGAGCGGGCAAACCCAAGGTGTGCTTTTGGGGGGCTGCCCTGCTCTGCTCACCCAGGGTGGAGCACTGGTCTTGCTAAGATCCGACGTTGGAGAGCTGCGTTTGGAAAAGGAGGAATCCGGAGTGTTTATAGTCTCTCTGTGTTTTTCCTCTTAGGGCTTGGCCTATGTGGAGTTTGAGAACGAGGCGCAGGCCTCCCAGGCGCTTCTGAAAATGGACGGGCTGACCATTAAGGGCCACGTCATTAAAGTTGCCATCAGCAACCCTCCGTCTCGAAGATTTCCCGAGAAGCCGGAATCCCAAAGTCAGGATCTGAACCTCCGGCAGCCTTCTCGCACGTGAGTGTTTTGAACCCAGAACTCCAGAATGAAAAAGGGTTTTCTTGAACCTTATTTAAGCAAAGGGTATTTATTTAACCTAAGGTTGCTGGGAAATCAGTTGAGTTTTTATTTTATGCATTAAGTTTTTAAAGTTATTTACAACATCAGCTAGATTTTTTAAAAAGAGAATTATGTGGCACACGACCATCGTAAGGCAGAAACGTGTCTTTGGAAACTGAGAAATTAACAAGGCCGGATATGGATCACTCAAAAGCAAGCACCTGGCAGCTCAGGGAGTTTTAAAACTAAGATTGTTTTGAGAAACGGGGGTTGTGGCTGCCTGGGTTTCATCACTCAATAGTGTGGAGACCTCTATCTTCTACGCACATTTTGTAACTGCCCTAAATCTGCTCCTTCCGCAGCCGTCGCAAGAGGAGAACCCAGCTGGCGATGGTCCCTCGTGCCTTGCAGCGTCACAACAACCCAGCAAGTAAGGCAGAGAACGGCACGGTGCAGAACCCGCCCGCCACGCCCTCCCCGTCTGCGGAAAGGCCCAAGATGTCCAACGCGGACTTTGCCAAGCTGCTCCTGAATAAGTGAGCCGCTGCCCTTGACCAGCAAAGCCAGGAGGCTGCCGAGGGCCCCATGGAAGTTATCGGCTGGTCCTTCCCTGTAGCAGCCGCTGCGGCTCATCATGGCTCCCCTCCGATTCCAATTTGGACTTTTACGTCCGCCGAACGCCCGAACAGGGAGGTGTCAATTCCCCGCCCCCTTGAAGTACCACAGGGCAAAGTTATTGAGTTGGGGGTACGCGTGAGGAATTTGTTGAAAATGGCTTTAAATGCTCCCTCATATTGGGGGTTTATGTGGCGAGCGCTCACTTTTGAGGCCGAACACAGTATGTTTTAAGAGTTGGGTTTTTTTCAGCTGTTCTCCAAATGAAGAGTTTAATGTGAATTGAGTCTCGATCTGGTTTATACAAATCCCACCGCAGGCGCTGAGCTAAGACGGGCAGCTTTGCGACGCTGCCTCCATTGCGTGCAAAATAAGCCCCGGACGAGCCCAGCGCCTTCTCATGTGCAAAAGGAGTATAAGTAGCAGATGGGAGAACCTTCACCATAATGGCCTATTTTAGTATTGGGATAGACAAAGGTCGGCGTTTCTACTGACCTCTTTGCTCAAAGTTAAGAGTCTGTTTTTTCTATCTCTGGGGATGTGACCAGCCCATGCCGGCTACTTTTGAGCTTTTGCTGACCCGGCACCAGAGGGACGGAGACCCTCTGCTCAGCTTCCATCTTTCCGTTTGCCTGGTTCCTGTAAGGGTCTCTAGCCAGGCCCGTTTTGGTTCTTGAGATGTTTGGCTTGCAATGTTTTGGTTTTTTTTTTTTTAAGAAAAAATTTGTATACAATGTAAAGCGTGAGCCTGCAGCTTTCTTCCTCTGGGTTCATTAAAGTTGTTCTTGCAAGTTGAGAGAGCGTGGCTGCTTATTTGACCTGATGAATCGGAGGGGGGGGGGAGGGGTGTGTGCCATTTGCAGAAACGGAGAGAAGATACTAGGGTGTTCTTTTTTTTAAAAAATTGCATTTTGAACCTTTAAACACATTCTTGGGGGGGGGGCTCCCTCACCCTGGGCTCCTCCAATTTGTTGGACTTCAAATCCAGTGACCCTGTTTTGTAGATAGGCAGGCCCTGGATGATACCCGAAGGGGCTAACCTGGGCTGCTGGCTTTCCTGCTTGCGTTGTTCCTGCCTCAGCATCTGGGTTAAGGGACAATCCCCGAGTCACGGCTGCATTAGGCAAGCATGCTGAGGGTTGCTGCCAACAAGGGGTAGGAAGCAGGGTGGGCATGCTCTCAAAAGCAACTCTTGCAGCAGTAGACAATTCTGCTCCCTTACTTGCCATCTAAACAATACCACCCATGAAATTCCAGCGCTTCAGGCTGCCCGTCTCATTTTGAGTAAACTCTTTCTGGGTGCCTGTAGGACGGCACTAATTTTGTGTGCCTGGGAGCTGTGAGGGAGAAGATGCAGTCCTCTTTATCTTATTTTTTTTTAAAAAAGAGAGAGAGTCGGGAAATCTCTTTATTGCAACCAACCAAATATGCACAGACTTTGCAAAAGCACTTTTGTTAGGCGCTGCTCCTATTTCACACACTGCGTTGTGGTTGTACCTGCTCGGCTTGCCTTAGAAGTAGACTTAAGAAGGGCAGCCAGTCCCCCCCTGAAGTCTGGGCCGATTTAAGATTGGATCACGCCTGTCCCAAGGCGTGTGGGTTCTTCCCAGGGGCAACCAAGATGGCAAGAGGGTGAGCCAAGAAGGTGAGCCGAAGAGAAACAGGGATTCATTCAGGGGCACCGGTTGCGCGTGGGGATGCTGAGTTCGCAGCTTAGCAAAAAGCACCCCCCCACCTCAACCTTTTCTCCTTTGAAACTTCAGGCAACAACGTTGGCACGTTCCAAGTACAATAAAAGTAAAGTGCTATCAGAGGAGGAGTTTACGAAGCCCTTCGACCTTTAGTATTTGAGGCTGGATTGGTTTTATTCCACAGGCAATATCACACCAGAGCAAATGTGGGTTTTTTAAAGGATCCCAATTCAAAGCCCACGGAGTCCACAGGCTTCTCTAGGTTAGACCTCCTCCTGGAGTGGTTCTGCTGGAAAGGGGGTTGGGGAAAAGAGCTAAGGCACAATTCAGTACAAATACAAGTCCCTACGAAGGCACTGGCAGGCAGGAAGCTTGGTCCAGTTTTAGACGTGAAACTGCCATAAACCCAAACGGGGGGCAGGTGAAATGGCAGCTTTGTGGGCTTCACACAAGCTTCCTTCCCTCAACGGGTGGGAGTTTGGGCCCTCCCCGTGCGTTAGCAAACTGAACAATACCAAAACTGCATCAGTTTGCTAAGGACACCGATGAACTCCTCAGCCGGGCTCGGCTGGGTAAAGTAACAGCGGCATTTTCCATGTCTGACCATCTTTAGCCAGAAAGCTGACCCTGGGTTGGGTTTTTCCAGCTGCAGCAGTCCTCCTGGACGCTTAACCAGCCAGAGAAGCAGCTCTGTGGCGTTAGAGACTGGCCTCTTCCCTTTTGCAATAACATTAGACAAGTTACTTGGGGCCTATTGGGGGTAATAAATACGGAGAGGCCACTGCATTAAATGATTTAACTTAAAGACATAAATAAATGAAATGTTTTACAGAAAGTGCTTTTCCAGCTCTCCTCCCACAGGGGGCGCCCTTTGCTCCCAGCGTTCAGGTCCGAGTTTTGAGAGAGATGGTCTGTTTGCAGCCTGCGCTGCAGCTGCCGCCCCCGTCCTGTGCTTCGGGGAGGCCCACGGAATGCTCCGTGGTCGCAAAGAGCAGCATGTCGAGGGTGGTCTCTGTGCATTTGGCAATCAGGCGGATGAAGGGCCGGACATCCCCTTCGTTGGCCACCTCCAAGGCATGGTAGTACTCGGCCCGCTGCTCCTTCCGGATGGTGATGGGTGGGTAGCCGGCCTGCATGAGGATCAGGTTCATCAGGAGCCGGGATGTCCTCCCGTTGCCGTCCACAAACGGGTGAATGTACACCAGCTTGTAGTGGGCCAGGGCGGCAAACTCGACGGGGTGCAGGCCCATGGCGTCCTCGGAGTTGATCCACTGCACGAACTCCAGCATCTGCTTCTCCACGTCGCGAGGATGGGGCGGGACGTGGTGGCCGACAAACACCTGGGTAGTCCTAAACCGGCCAGCTTCGATGGGGTCCACGTAGCCCAGGACTCTCCGGTGGATCTCCAGGACGTCGGGCAGGGTGACGGACCCTATCCGAGACAAAAGGGTGGTGTTGACGTACTTCATGGCGGCGTGCATGCCGATGACCTCGTTCTGCTCCTCCAGGCTTTTCCCGGGAACGGCGTATCGGGTCTCGATGATGTGCCGGATCTCGGCGAGCGTCAGAGTGTTGCCCTCGATGGCCACCGTGTGGTAGATGTGGTGATAGTAGGACTCCTCCATCACCCTCCGCAGGGCAGAGTTGCCTTTGGGGATGGACAGGACCTTCTGGACTTTGCTGTCGATGATGCTGAAGAACCTCTGGTCGATTTCTTCCACAAGAGGCAACGTCCGGTCCCGGCTGACCAGAGCCTTCTTGTTGTGTGGGGAGATGGTCAAGGCTTTCGAGTACAGATAGTCGGCCTGTATGATGTCCTTCTCCTCCTCGGAGAAGAGGCCGAACTCAGTCAAGGCATCCACGTAGTCGGGGTCCATCTTGAGGGCGTGCAGGAAGAGCTTTTGAGCTTTCTCACGCTTCCCTTGTCTTTTCATCTCCAACGCCTGATGTAACGCTGCTTTGGCTTCTAATCTGACCTCTGAAATGAAGCAACCACCATTAGGAGCCGTGTATCTTGTTCAAGCAGTGTGTTTTGCACAGGCATCTAGATCAGGGGTGTCCAACTTGGCAACATTAAGACCTGTGGACTTCAACTCCCAGAATTCCTCAGCCAGCAATGCTGGGACACCCCTGATGTAGAAGAAATGCATTTCTACCCTCCACTGTTAGACCTCTCAACCTAACCTCAGCTGGATACTGAACTTCATGCTGTTTCGGTTGGCTTTGGGTTATTTTGTGCTTTGTACTGAAGCGCCTATGGATTCTTCCCTGCAGCTTCTTGGGGCACCTTCACAAACCCAAAGTTAAGGTAAGTTTGAAATCAGCTGGCTAAGAAATTCAGGGACAACTAAAGGAAACTACTTCTCAAAATGCAGCCTAAACATGAAAAATAAGGGGTGGTCTCTGGTTAGGCTCAACTTCCTCCACTGAATGCCTCTGCATGCATTTAGAAGGAGCTCCTAACAGTCTCAGTCAGAACTCTGGGATCTGAAGTCCCAACACGTCAGCACAGAGATAACAGGAGGGAGAGGTAGTGAGTTTGTTTACTTACAAGCTACAAGGCACCACACAACCCACCCCCGAAACAAAGGAGCTCCAGATGTCAGAAACAACACAGGGAAGCCTTGTGGGCCACCCCAGAAGTAAAACTGAAGGTCATCTTTAGAGATGAGGGGTCCTTGGTGCTCCTGAGCTTGACTGTTTTCTTGCAGACCTTTCAAAACCCAGCTAGGTAACTTCATCAGTGGGAGTAACACCATCACCAAGGACCCCACCTTTCAACCCACAATTATTCTCCTCGATTGGTGTCCTTTGAGAGAGCAAACCGGAGTGCGAGACTCCAGGGACAGACCTGTGGAGACTTTGGGCTTCAGCACCATCAGCTCCAACCCGCCGGAGGTCACGCTGAGCTCGGTGGTCTGCCCCGTGTAGGTGGCGATGCTCACGTAGCCCAGCCCCAGCTTGCTCCTGAGGAAGGCCCAGCCCTTCAGGGCCGCCTGGCACTGCCCCTCCACCAGCAGCACCGGAAGCAGCACCACCAGGAGGGCCGCCAGCACCGCCGCCAGCACCGCAGCCCAACGGGCCCGGAGCCAGAGGGAGACCCATTTCAGCTCCGGCTCCACCGCCGTCACTCCGGCTGCCATAGAGACCAGCTTCATCTGGGCGCCAGGAGCCGCGGGCGTCGCATCGTCCTTCTGGAGGGTCTCACCTGCGGAAGGAAGGAAGGAAGGAAGGAAAGGAAAGGAAAGGAAAGGAAAGGAAAGGGGGGGGGAATTAGCAAGGTGTCCCCCAAGCGATTCTCCTGGCCCTCTTCACACAACCCATGAGAGCCGGGTCTTGGCTGGAGAAGCCACCACTAACCAGGCTCTGGCAGCAGAGGCCGCCCTGCCCCCCCCCGCCTGACCTCCCCTCCCCCCTTTCCCAGGATGCCCCACCTGCCCCTCCCCCTTCCTCTCCCCCCAGTCTGACCCCTCCCCAGTTCTTCCCCCCATATTCCTTTTCTCCCCCCCACCTCTCTCCCCCTCCTCTCAGAGACCCCCTTCCCTCCCTCCCCGCAGCTCTGCCCCCCCCCTTCCCGCCCTTACCGAGAGCCGGCTCTCTCTGCCCCACATTCCTCCATCCCCCACCAAAGTTTCACTTCCGGCTCCGCCCCTCAACACGCCCTTCCTTATTATCCCGTTCTCCGATTGGCCGCCGCAAGGCTCACTTCTTCTGGCCCGCCTTCACCGACGGGCCCCTCTTCTCCTTCTATTGGCTGCTCCGGCCTGTCGATCTCCCTTTGTGTCCCGCCTCCTTTCGGGGAGGGAGAGGGAGGAGGCGAAGACGCAAGGCCCGAGAGGCTTGTCTTCGTGGAGAAACGCGATTGGCTTAATTCCACGTCCATCGGAAAAGGCGTCTTTGGGCCAATGGGGAGGAGGCGGAGGCGGGGCGCGCGGATTAAAAAAAAAAGAGGGAAGTGCGTTGTCAAGGAGACGGGCGCGGGAGGGGGGAAGCGGAGGGTGCGCCACACTTTGGGGGCGCAAATTGCCCTTTTTCTCCGGGGTGGAGACAAAGGAGGGGCGTGGGGGGCCTTATCTGCCGAGCGCCACTCGCTCCGAATTAGGACAACTTCCGCTGCAGAAAGCCGGCGCGGCCATGTTTGTTTTGGGCAAAGAAGCGAAGTGTTTCGTCACATCCGGAAGCCTGGCCTGAAAGCTTATGACGTCATTTACCCAGACTTGCCAAGGCTAACACGGGAGGCGGATGGCACGTCGGAAGCGGAGAAAGACGCGCTTCTTCATATGGGAGACTCGGTTTTGTGATGAAACCCGCGTCTTTGTCGCCTACTTTTTATTTCTTTTTAAGGAGAGCCCTTGGCAGGATTGATTATTGACATATAGTGTGTAATATGATTTGTAGCATACATGTATCATATTGAATGTAGATGTTCTATTTTGTTTTTAAATAAATGTATATAGGAAAAATAGTTGCTTGTAGTTGCAAATGATTTCATGGTACCAAATTATATTTAAACAGCTAATGAAACAATTAAAAACAGGAGAAATTGCAGGATCTGCAGAGGGGAAAATCAAAATACTGTTCGGAAGAGCAAAGGAGTGGGTGACGACTGGAAGGAAAAACCTCAGGGATTCTCACGGTTGCTGGTTGGCAAAGCTTCCCTCTCCATCTATGGATTAAGCAGAGCAAAATTGGGACACAAGGGGAATTTTCAGGCCGGGCAGCCGCCAGGGAGAGTCCCCTGCCGAGAGAGGGCAGCAGAGACTGGCATTCACTGAGCCGCTTCCTAAACCTTCTCTTGACTTCACCAGTTAGGATCTTGACATTGCCACAAGAGTGAAAATGGCTGGCAAGAGACCAGGCAGCTTCTCTACCTGGCCACAACCAGAACAGAGCTTTGGAGTTGGCTGTCCTGGCTGTTTTCCCGGAGGAGAGGGAAATAAAAGCAATGATGTTTATTGACAGGTGGATTAATTGTGGGAAAAGGCTTAGACTCCACGATTCGTTTACTTGCCAGGCTGACCCAGGACATATTTCAAACACGCAGGGTTTTCTTCCTTAAGGGAAAAGAACAAATAAAACCCCAGAAGCCGTGCTTGCTTCTGATTTGTCTGCTACAATCCCTCCAATGGAGAGAAGGATATTCAATAATTGATCTGTTTATCATTTGCAGAAATGACTGTTTGCTAAATATCTTTTGCCAAAGCGTGAGATTTTCTGGTGGTGGGCCCAGTTTCCAGGTTGTTAGTGCTTCTCCGTGTCCCTGGCCAGTCAGAGGGCATTTCATTTTAGCTTCTGCCCCCTCCCTTTCCTAAGTACCCTGACTCAGTTTGTTGGCTTGTACGTGGAACTGAGGGCCTGTGGTTCAGTGACTTTGTGCCCACCAGAGTGAAACACCCACAAATGTCTGCTCTAGTTGGGAGAGGCAGTTTCAAACCTTCGACCTGCCTTGAGCAGGGGGTTGGACTAGAAGACCTCTGAGGTCCCTTCCATGAGATTCTATTTTTTATTTATTTATTTATTTGATTTGATTTTTATACCGCCCTTCTCCGGCAGGACTCAGGGTGGTGAACAGCCAAGGTAAAACATAGCATACAAAATTTAAAACAATTTAAAAAGATATTAAATGATTTCGGCCCACAATTTAAAAACACCCCAATAAAATCAATTACAAATTAAAACCGAAAGATGGGATCAAGCCAGCCCGGCTAGATGAGATGCCCAGTGCAGAAAATGTCCTTAGACTCAGCTGGGAGACCTGCCCTGCCAGATTCTTGAGTTACAGCTTATTAACTACTGGAAATGTTCTGCATCAACAGATCAGTTTCCCTTCACCTGGCTATCCATCAGAAAGCAGGGAAAAAAATATTGCAGTGAGATTTTTAAGACTACAAATCAGGCTTAGGCTCAGCCAATGGCGACAGAGGGACACATTGCAAAATTTTGAATTGCTTGATTGAACCTTGATCAATGAGATGTTCCAGAGAAGAAAAATCGAGTGGTTCTTTTTTGATCCAGAGTTGGCAAAAGGCATTTCAGCACCTTGGACAGAAGCTGTGGCCAACAACACCTGGCAATTGGCAACTTAACTTGGTTTGTGGCTGTGGTCACCCTGGTCTTTTCGTCTTCCCAATCCTCCAGGATATAATGGCAGCTTTGTGGAAGGATCATGCCGTTTATTGCAGGAAGTTTTGTAGAACTTTTATGCCATCATAAATTGCCTTTTTCCCCGCAATTGCCATTGGTTATAAAGACAAAGGAGTGGCCCCCCTTGCTGTTCCCAGCTCTGCAATGAGTTTCTCTCTAGCATTCAGCCAGAAACAAATGCATCTCTTCAGAAATAAAGGCACATTATTTTTTTCCTATTATGCTTTTAAAAAAAAAGAAAATTTACAACATAATTTGCTTTTGTTTTACCCACGGATGCTTTCGTCTTTGAAATGACTCTCCAGTTTTTCCTTCAGTCTATCATCTCTTCCAATATATATTTTTTGCTTGTTTAGCTTCCTTATTTTGAGTGCCTTTCAGATAAAAAGATGAGAGTGTTATCTAGCAAAACAGCAACGGGAGAGGAATGTTCTGGGATTGAGTGGGATTGGGAGAAGCAGAGAGGGCACCGAGGATCATCTGAATTGGCTAATAAAATAGAGAGCAGTTCCTAGAGAAGGAACCGCATTTGCACCCTCACCTTGCATCTCAAGAGTTTTGTTTGTCCACCGATCTCTCTAATTGAGAAGAAAGCTTTTCATTGCAGCCCTGCATTTATCCAATAATCCTCATCTCAAGATGCTTGAAATGCAGAACTGATTTAGTTCCCGGGGTCTGATCAAATTAAGACGAAGCTCAAATTAGCTGGGGAATACATCATTAAGACGTAAGCTATGAATGCGTATAATAAAAAACCAGAAAGAAAAAAGAAATATTCTTTCCATAAATGAGGTGAAATAAGAGAAGAGGAAGCTTTTGTGGTTTGGAGTCTGGGTGCCCTTGTTCTGTTTTTTTAGAAACAGGTTGTCATTCACCCTTATTGGAAGGAACGGATACAAGCATACCTGGAAGGTGTTGTGGTTAGTAGTAGCTGGATAGAGAACTAAAGATCAAGCCTGCAGACTTTTAAAGGCCCATCAGTTGTGCTCAATGGACGACCAAGTCATATAACAGGACCAATAGAAGAGAATTGTTGCAGCTCAGGGTTGAACTGTGGGGTTCTTGAAGCCCTCTGAGCCTGGTTGTTTTCTTGGCAGAGGCTTCATTACCCAACTAGGCAACATCACCAGTACTAAGTGGTGATTCCAACACTGATGATGTTTACTAGTTGGGTAATGAAACGTCTGCAGGAAAACAACTAAGCTCAGAGGACACCAAGGACCCCACAATTCAAATAATATGAATAGAAATAGCTAGGGAAAGCACTGATTAGGAGGACAAAAATCCAGTCTAAGCATCTGGCCAACTGGCTGACCAACCACCAAAATAACACCATCGTCTTGGCAGCTGTTGCTGTGAGAGGACCTGATGGATTTAGGATGCTCAGTGTCACCCGTAGCTTCGCCAACACCAGTGAAGCAAGAAGGAGAAGGAGAAGGAGTGGGGGCGTTAAGGAGCCCCCTCTTTTCCCTTCATTTCCAAGACCATCTGTTGTTCCCCAGCATCTCTTGTCACTGTTGTTTCTCTACAGTGTCTGACAGCTGCTTTCTCGGAGGGCTCTGTGATCTCCTCTCCACATGGAACCCTTTGGGGGTTCGGCTCCAACACTTTCCCTGCCCGGATCTCCCCTTTTCAGCAAATAAAGCCTTGGAGGAGCTTCGGTTCGAGTGGTGAGCTGGGGAAAACTCTCGTCTCAGCCCCAGGACTGTGCCAGAGGCAGAGAATGGAGAATGAAATTTCTCCCTGAAACTTCTCACTAAAAAATGAGTCCAACGTGGTAGCGGTTTGGTGGCTTTCAGGGCTCTGGGCTGGGCAGGGTGGCATGCAGAAGACAAACAAACCATGATTTGTTGAGCTGCAATGTATTCTGTGCAGCCAGCCTAAGCTCTAACAAAGGGTGCTCAGTTCTCTTTGGGTCAGTCCTTCCAGCAAGAAGGGGAATGGGATCAGGGGAAAACCAGCTTTCATGTTATTTCTGTTTGGTTTAAAAGCTTCTGTTTTTCTCATCAAAGTCTGGGAAATGTAGATTTCTGCGCTTCCCCTGGGACGTTCACACCAACGGAACCTGTCTCTTTCCCCAACCAGGCTGGCAAAAACCTGCCATCCCACCCACCCACCTTCTCCTTCCTCTGGTGCGGTTAAAAATAGAAGCAAGCGAGTTTAAAGCGAGTTACCCTATATATTTCTAACTCCCCCTCCCCAGGTTTCCATGGCAGCCAAAAGGAAGGGAGGGAGGGAGGGAGGGAGGGAAGGTTCCTTTGCTTAATACATCAGAGAGAGAAGTCTGGGGTGGGGGGTGGGAGTGAAGGACATTGCCTGATACTGCCTAATTTTTCCTCTTTTCTTGTTATTGTGGGGGAGGGGAGCAGACCGTTTTTCTGCTTCTGGTGTTAATCCATTGCAGCAGGAGATTCTGTCCTCTTTTCTTTAAGGTTTCTTCTTTGAGATATTCACACGTGAGGTGGCAAAAATTCCCAGCAGCACAGTGGTTACATATTTAAACTTTCCTCTTTGAAAA